GTACGAAATTAAGTCTAGAGTGATGTGTGTTAAGTTTCGTGAAAATCGGTTTAGATTTACATATAGCTCCCATATAAATTGTTGTCAGGATTAAGGTAAATGGTGTACCAAAGTCCCTTAATATCTTCGGGTTTGCACGAAATTTGGCACAGCGTAATGGATAAGGTCTAAAATGATGTGTGTTAAGTTTCCTGAAAGCGGTTTAGATTTAGATATAGCTTCTATATCAGACCAAATGAAAAATTTAGTATCGGTTGCAGAATGACATGCTTATGGATCCATTTTATTGGTCCTTTAAAAATGCGACGTCTGTTAGTATTTATCATTTGAATATACTCAAAGTGGTGAAGGGTATCATATAGTCGGCCCGTCCGACTTTACAACTTTCCTTACTGGTTTAAACTCGTTTAGCACCAAAAAAGCGATCAAAAACTTTTCAATGCATATTTTTAATTTGTGTTTAATATCATCCTAAAATATGTCGTTTATCGACTGGACTAGTTGCGAAACTGGTTGCCGTATCGGTGAAAAATTCTGCGCGATATACACATTCGTATACGGGTATATAAATTAATATAATTTAAGGGAAATTGATGTCAAACTGACTAACAATTTACTTGAAATCGGGCGAAAATATATATGGAAGCTCTATCCAAATATTAAGCGATTTAAAAAAAAACGTGTCACAGGTTAGGTTATACTAATTTCAGAACGTTTTGTTCCTATCAGCCTATTGGTTCCTTGGTGCGTCAATTACATAAAGTAAATCTATATTAAAAGGGAGCTATATCTAAATCTGGACCGATTTTCACGAAACAAGGCAGACATAACTCTAGACTCAATTCAGTACGTTATGCCAAATTTCGTGCAAATCGAAAGATATATAGCGACTTTGGTGTACCATTTACATGAAATCGGACGAAACTATATATGGGAGCTATATAGAAATCTGGACCGATTTTCTCGAAACTTGGCAGACATCACTCTAGGCTTAATTCAGTACGTTATGCCAAATTTCGTGCAAATCGAAGGATATATAGGGACTTTAGTGCACCAATTATATGAAATCGGACGAAACTATATATGGGAGCTATATCTAAATCAGAACCGATTTTCACGAAACTTGGCAGACATCATTCTAGGCTCAATTCAGTACGTTACGCCAAATTTCGTGCAAATCGAAAGGTATATAGGGACTTTGGTGCACCTTTTACATTAAATCGGACAGAATATATATGGGAGCTATATCTATATCTGGACCGATTTTCTCGAAACTTGACAGACATCACTCTAGGCTTAATTCAGTACGTTATGCCAAATTTCGTCCAAATCGAAGGATATATAGGGACTTTGGTGCACCATTTATATGAAATCGGGCGAAACTATATATGGGAACTATATCTAAATCAGGACCGATTTTCACGAAACTTGGCAGACATCATTCTAGGCTCAATACAGTACGTTATGCCAAATTTCGTGCAAATCGAAAGATATATAGGGACTTTGGAGCACCATTTACATGAAATCGGACGAAACTATATATGGGAGCTATATCTAAATCTGGACCGATTTTCTCGAAACTTGGCAGACATCACTCTAGGCTCAATTCAGTACGTTATGCCAAATTTCGTACAAATCGAAAGATATATAGGGACTTTGGGGCACCATTTACATGAAATCGGACGAAACTATATATGGGAGCTATATCTAAATCTGGACCGATTTTCTCGAAACTTGGCACACATCATTATAGACCTAAATGATTAGGCTGTACCAAATTTCGTGCAAATCGAAAGATATATAGGGACCGTTTACATTAAATCGGTAAAATATATATATGGGAGCTATATCTAAATCTGAACCGATTTTTCCCAATAGGGTTCGTCCTTTGGCCGAATAAGTGACCTATGCCAAATTTCATCCAATTCGGATCATAAATGCGACCTGTACTTTGTTTACAATTTAACATGCACAGACAGACAGACAGACGGACGGACGGACATGCATAAATCGACTTAGAAAGTGATTCTATGCATATTCTCAAAAGGAACCATGTGTCTATCTCGTTTCCTTTTGCCTGTTACAAACATATGCACAAAGACATAATACCCTGTACCACTGTGTGGTGAAGGGTATAATAAGGAAGATCTTCACCGATTGGCTTTATCCTAGTTCATACGAGAGCTATACACTCACAGAGAAACGTTTCAAAATTTGGAACCGATTGGGTTATTAGTTTTTGAGTTATCGTGCCCGCCATTGGCAAAAAATGTTTAGAGAAAAACGCGTTTAAAGTTTGAGAAGCCCTTTAGCCGTCACTTGATGCTGAAACAATAAATCGGCTATATCTTCAAGATTTCTTGAGATTTTCACTTGAAAAGTTGTAGGGACATTCATTAATTAGTGTAGATTCGAATTATATCAACAAATTTTTTGACCCCGAGAATGGAGGGGGGGTCCCCTTAAACAAATTTTAAGGTCAACTATTGAACAATAACAATTGACTATTTTTTTTTTAATTTGTCTTGTAAAAGTCTTGTTTCATTTGATAGGAAAATTATTGACAGATCACAATCAAAACGGAGATGCTTTTTCGTTTACTACACCTTTTTCAAATGTTATTCAACACATTTCAATTACAATTCGAGAATTTCATTCGTAATTCGAAAACTCAATTTGCAATTCATAACATTTCACTTGTAATTCGAGTATGTAATTTGTAATTCTCAACGTTTCATTTGTAATTTTAAACTTTTCGTATGAAATTCAAAATATACCATTTGTAATTTAAAAAATTTCATTTGTAATTCAAATATTTCAATTTGAATTTCGTAGAGTTTCATTTGAAATTCAAAGAAATCCATTTGAAATTCAAAGAATCCAATTTGAAATTCATAACATTTCAATTGTAATTCTTAACAATTCATTTCAAATTCATACATATTCCTTTTGTGTTACCAACAATAATTTTCGAATTTAAAATTAAATGTTATGAAAAACAAATGGAATGTTATGTATTTCAAATCAAATGTTAAGAATTTCAAATGAAATTATTTAAATTTCAAGTTGAAATTTTATTAATTTCAAGTGGAATTTTATGAATTTCAAACGCAATACTTGGAATTTCAAATGGAAGTTTATGAATTTCAAATGGAATTCTATGAATTTTGAAAGGTATTCTAGGAATTACAAATGAAATTCTCGAATTACAACTTATATGTTGTGAATTGCAAATGGAATTCTCGAATTGCAAATTATATGTTGTGAATTACAAATGGAATTCTCGAATTACATTTGATATGTTTTGAATAACATGTGAAAAAGGTGTAGATTCCCTTACTTACTTAGCTGACTTGTGGCAGAACATTTGCTCCAGCAAGGGTAGTCTGCGTCATGTAGAGTATGAGTTTGGTCTGGCGAGAGGTGGAATTGTTTCTGAATTCCTTACTTAAACCATAGTAGCATCTGTTGGTCAACACTATTCTCCTTTGATGTCATTAGTTTAATTTATGGTGGTATATAAAATCTTTGACTACCTCGAAGCTGTAGTTTTCAAGTTCTAATGCGTCGATACCATTAGCTTGGTCTTCTCGTCATGTATTGCCAGACCCACTTTGGCAGACTCCTTCTCAATTTGTTCAAAGGTGGTTGTTACCACTCGCAATGTTCGACTCATTATGTCGATGTCATCAGCGTAGGCGAGTAACATGTGTTGTTTGGTGTACAGAGTGCCATTTCTGTTCACCTTTGCCTCCCCTATGCCTTTTCCTGCAGGATGTTTAAAAGATCAAACGACAAACTGTCGTGTTCGTTCGAGATTTGCTTTAAATCGATTTACATCATTTTATATGTGTAAAAATCAAGAATTTAGTATAGGTTGCAGAATGATATGTTTATGTATTGATATGAGTCGTTTCACATTTAGTTCACCCAATTTCATGTTAATGACCCTTCAAAAATGCGACGTCTATTAGGATGCATCTGTTGTTTATATCAAAATGGTGAAGGGTACCATATAGTCGGCCACGCCCGACTTTACTATTTCCTTACTGGTTCTCAATCAAGTTTTGGTCACAATGAGTGTCTGTGAAAAATGTCAAAGCTCTATTTAAACTTGTGTTATGATCATAGTAGATATTTCATATGTCCTTGCGAATGTAATTTCATTTTATACGAAAAATGTAATACGGTTTCTTTGATTCCTTAAAAATCGAAGAGCACACCACAACATTTCAAAACAAACTGATAATTCAAAAGCGAACAAGTGATTAGGTAGATAACGTTATTTTATATTGCCTACCAGGAATTATCATCAAAATGACTTGATATGCAAGTCTCCAAAATATTGTTTTAAAAAGCTGTTTTATTTATACAAATCACAAAATCATTTCACTGATTATCTTAATCTACCCCCTATATATGTGTTTGTTTTTAATAATTTACAATGTTCCTGGAGCCGGTGCAACATTAACATTAGCAACAGAGTTCAAGTGTCCCTCCAAAGGAGCAGTGTGAACAGCTCCACGAGTCTTAGCAACATATGTTCCCTGTACACCAGGAACAGCTAAGGGAGCATGCACGGCAACGCTTGGGCCATAAACACCAAGGCCATGGGCGGCATAGGGAAAATAGGGAGATGAAACGGCCGTATACGAGAGACCACCACCAACAACTTGTGGAACATTATAGGGCAATACAAAAGATTGAACACCCAAGATCAAAGCCAAAGATGCAATTACAGCCAAGAAGAACTGAAAAACAAAAAATAATAATTAATAATAACATCCAAATTTAAAAAGACAAAACTCTAAGTGTATATGGATGTGACAGGGTATGGATATCCTTGATATTCACTTTCATATTGCTGAGATTAGTTTAGATGTTTTGGTAAGGAATTTGAAAACAGTGCTGTCTTTTGACGTCAAGTGCAGATAGTGATCTGATTTCTTGCCACACTGCTCTCACATTTTATAGTGAAATTAGAACAGATGCGAAAGTGTTACAGCGTGCATTCCAATAGGGCGTTTTTTACGTATTCCGCCATAAGCAACCAGACTGAGGCAATTGAGCGTGAAAAATCATTGAAACATTTTAATTGTGACGTTTATGAAGGCTACTATTTTTTTGCTGGTGGTTTTGGTGTTTGTTCTTTTACCATGTCAATTTGCAATAATTGATGGATTTAAGTAACGAAAGAAAAAGGTTTGACATATGGTGACGGATATTGTTAAGTTGTCGTTTCAAGTATGGTAAAAATATATTTAATTCGTTTGTAATATTTGAAATTCTTCAACACCTGAATATTTAAGAGCAGACCTTTACAGGTGTGGTGCATCGATGTGTAAAATCTGTACATTAGGGTTATGACTTTTTGACAACTTCATATCCCAGAATCATATTTGGATAAGTTTTTATCTAGGATTAAATAAAAGCATTAATCTTACGGTGAATTGGAGAAAAATCTACACGCACTCAGCATTAATTTTGTCTATATATAATTAACCACAAGCTTTAGCATGACCCTTTCAAATAATTCAGTGGAATAAACCCTATTTAGTGATTAAGTGACGACCCGCAACCAATTTTTATACCCTTCACCACACTGTGGTACAGGGTATTATGTCTTTGTGCATATGTTTGTAACAGGCAAAAGGAAACGTGATAGACACAGGTTCCTTTTGAGAATATGCATAGAATCACTTTCTGAGCCGTCTGTAGATGTTAAATTGTAAACAAAGTACAGGTCGCATTTATGATATTATTTGGCCCAAGGACGAACCCTATTGAAATTGAAGGAAATCGGTTCAGATTTAGATATAGCTCCTATATATAGGTATATATTCGTCCGATTTTATGTAAATGGTGTTTAGATATAGTCCCCCTATACAGGTTTATCCCTTTTTATGTAAATGGTGCTCCAAAGTCCCTATATATCTTTCGATTTACAATTTTACATAGTGTACTGAATTGATTCTAGAATGACGTGTGTCAAATGTCGAGAAAATCGCGTCAGATTTATATATAGCTCCCAAATATATTTTTTTTCCGATTTAAGGTAAATGGGGCTCCAAAATCCTTATATATCTTTCGATTTGCACGAAATTAGGCATAGTGTACTGAATTAAGTCCAGAATGATGTGTGCTTGTTTCGTGAAAATCGGAGATTTAACTCCCATATATATTTTCGTCCGATTTAATGTAAATTGTGAACTAATGACCCAAAGTTTGGACGACCGGCACACAATTTTGTACAATGTACTAAAGTTACTATAATTGAATGATTTGTACGTTGAATATTTCTAACAACTTTTTTTATATACTTGTTCGCTCATGACAAGGGTATTTGGGAAATTACAAAAATCTTTTAAATTCCTTGAAGCTAAGGTTTGCGAGGTTATAACTCGCGAAATATGAACATATTGCATGTAATTTAAATTCACTTCTATAAAATGAAGTGTTCTTGTCAAAATCTTAAAATATTGGTAATAAATAATATATTGCGTGGAAGCTGTGATTTTGGCCATGTTCCTTCCTGATTTGTGGCTAAACAACACAACTCACGCACATGTGATCAGTGACTAAGTTCCAGAATACCCCATGGACAATATGGTTCTAATGTATTATTTTTCGATATAATCACTGCATCCACCCAAAACGGATACTGACATTTTGAAGCCGGATTTTCGGTGTTTTTTGAATTTTTCTTATAATTAGGACGCGCATCCAGATAACTGACTAAACTGATTATAGAATTGTAGAAGTCGCGATTTTGCTTCGTTTAGTGTATATCTCATGAATGTGCTCACCTTAGCTTTTTTGCAATTGGGTTCGAAAGACGAAAATTTGGTGCGTAAATTTTTATAAAAAACATATTTTTGAGTCTAAAATTAAGAAAGTCCATTCAAATTCCTTGGAACCCCGCGTGATTTTAGTTTTTTTACGTGCCGGATCTAATAAGTCCATCCATGTTCAATTCCGCCCAATTCCCCCTTGAATGAGGGAAAAATTGCAAAAACTTATTTTGACAAATTCGCGTATATAATCGCGTTTTGTCTTCGAATTGATTTGACATATATTCATTCTTATGTTATCATATTCGCGAATCTGTGTGACACATCCGCGGTTCTTAACCGACCCTTTTAAAATAGGTGTGTATTTTCATAGGAGATTAATGAAATCGGATGCGCATAAAAATCGTATGCACGTTGCGCCATTTTTAGGGCTTTTGCATAGTAAAGTCCATCGAGCGGCACACTTTGGCCGCTTAATGAAATCTCGAAAAATTCATAATTATTGATTCGGTTTATACGAAAACCGCATGCGCATCAACTGATTTCAACGAATACGCGAACTGTATGCTTTTTATATATTTTCGTCCGCTTTAATGTAAATGGTGCACCGAATTCCCTGAAAATCATTCGATTTGCACGAATTTTGGCATAGCGTACTGAATTATGTCTGGAATGACGTGTGCTAAGTTTCGTGAAAATCGGTTCATATTTAGATATAGCTCCCATATATATTTTCGTCCGACTTTACTACTTCCTTACTGATTGTAAGGGCGCAGGAAAAATTTAGTGATCGTTTTCTGCACTTTAAATTATAAATATCGGTCCACTTTTTCTGGTAGCCCCCATGTAACGGGTTTTCGGTTTATGTTTGGAATAGCTCCCACATAACTGTACCACCGCATTTTCCGTATTCGTGAGGCTTTAGCCGCATTTAACCACCGAAGAGGATAAAATTGCATAAAGGCTAATAAACATATGCGGTTTTAGCCGCATTTTCACATAGTGTAGTTTGCTGTAATTTGTCATTCGGCAAAGTTGGAAGGTAAAACACATTTTTGGTGAAAATTGTCTATATAGGTCCAAGTTTTGATGTAGACCCCACATAAAGGTCCCAACTCATTTTCGAAATTAATAAAATAAAAAAATAACCGAATTTTCTTAACTTGGCCAACTTCTAGAAATTATTCAACATAGGTTAATGTTTTGAAATAGTCCCCATACAAATGTCCGGCTAATTATACCCTTCACCACACTTTGTTACAGGGTATTATGTCTTTGTGCATGTAACAGGCAAACATAATCGAGATGGACCTATGGTTCCTTTTGAGAATATGCATAGAATCACTTTCTGAGTCGATCTATGCATGTCCGTACGTCTGTCCGTCCGTCCATGTATTTTTGTGAGCAAAATACAGGTCGCATTTATGATCCGAATTGGATGAAATTTGGCACAGCCCATTGAACGAATTTTGGCATAGCGTACTGAATTAAGTCGACAATGATGTGTGCCCGATTTTAGGTAAATGTTCCATCAAAGTCCCTGCAAATCTTTCGATTTTCACGAATTTTGGCATAGCGTACTAAATTAAGTCTAGAATGACGTGTGCTAAGTTTCGTGGAAATCGTTTCAGATTTAGATATAGCTCCCATATATACTTTCGCCCGATTTTAAGTAGACGGTGCACCAAAGTCCCTGAAAATCATTAGATTTGCACGAATTTCGGCATATCGTATTAAATTAAGTTTAGAATGACGTGTGCAAAGTTTCGTGAAAATCGGTTCAAATTTAGAATTTTTCTTATAATTAGGATGCGCATCCAGATAATGGACTAAACTGATTATAGGATTGTAGAACCCGTGATTTTGCTTTGTTTAGTGTATATATCATGAATGTGCTCACCGTAGCTTCTTTGCAATTTGGTTCCAAAGACGAAAATTTGGCGGATATAGGTACTGCAAAAACTTATTTTGACAAATTCGCGTATATAATCGCGTTTTTCTTCTAATTGATTTCACATACATTCATTCTTGTGTTATCATATTCGCGAATCTGTGTGAAAATATGTCAAAAATATATCGATACGCGAATAACATGCGTATTTTATCCAAAATCGATTTTGGAGGTTCTTAACCGATCCTTTTAAAATAGGTGTCCTTTTGTGTATTTTCATAGGAGATTACTGAAATCGGATGCGCATAAAAATCGTATGCACGTTGCGCCATTTTTAGTCAATTTTAGGGTTTTTGCATAGTAAAGTGCATCGAGAGGCACACTTTGGCCGCTTAATGAAATCTCGAAAAATACATAATTATTGGAAAAGATTGATTCGGTTTATACGAAAACCGTATGCGCAACAACTGATTTCAACTAATACTGATTTCAACTAATAATGTTGATAATTTTCATATACTGTAACTGCAATATATTTGGTCATTTTAAAGTGAAAACTCTTAACAGAGGAATCTACCAATATTTAACAATCATCTAAATGAATTTGTAGAAGAAATCGTCACGTGTTGTAGAAGATCTAGATTAAACCGTATTATCTTATCCATACCAAAAAAATCAAAAATTGAAAAAAAAACATTTTGTGGCAATTCAAAAATTAATTTATTTTATTTTCAGATATTTTCATGCTTTTATTTGTTTTTCGCGACTATTAAACCGTATTTCAATGTGATTTGACTAATATGCAAAGAAAACAAATGTGTTTAAACATTTGTCATGAATTTCGCGAATTACAACAAATAGGAATCCATTTAATTTATATTTGAAATACAAGATTTAAATCCGCTATAACTTTTTTGCGCAGCATCCGAATTTGTGAACGCGAACATATTTTGAATCAGTATATTTTCCTTAACCTAGGTACCAAAAATCATGAATGTGCTCGCAAAAAAAATTACAAATTTTTTTATGGAACTTTAAAAGAATTTTGTAATTTCCCATTTACATAAATTTTGTG